TCCCCCATACGCCATATTATATCGCTATTGGTCACACATAGAAAGTGTATACTTGCAATGTGTACCTTTTGTAGTTCTCAACAATTACCTTTAGCCAATCATTTTGTTTACTGCAAAATAGGATCAGATTACAGCAGAATTTATCTCTTCTTAATTGTATTTTTCTATAAATGTTATAATTTGGCTGTTGACTATTAAGTTTTTTAAATCACCCACTCGCCTAAAGGAGTATAGAGGCCTACGAATTGACCGTTTTATCTATCGCCTTGCCATTTGGTAATTTTTTATTAACTGCTTGTAACGTTTTTCTGTCAGCTAGATTAATGATCAGCTGCAGTATTTATTTATTTGCCATTCGATATCTCTCAATATCATCAGTATAGTTGTAAAAATAATATTATGTCATCTGAATAGTTTTTTGTTTATTATTGCAATGCTTCTTATTTACCTCGTTTAGATTTATTTATTTATATCTGATTGTTTTTTAGAAAATCCAGGTAAAAAGTATATGAAACAACTATTTTTTGCGTTTTAGTCCAAACTACAAGTCTATATAGTGGCGATTTTTTTGGATAGGTTAGCAATACTCATATTTATTTTATGATAATCTGTTATAAATTGAATAAATATGTATTATATTATGAGTAAAATGTTACTGGAAAATGTCAATAATTTGTCCGATAACTACTCGTATTTGGAAAATAATTTAATAAGTTTCACTATGGTGGTAGCTATAATGTGTATAGAGCTTGTTTATTAAGCTTGTATTTTCACTTAATTCGATAAGCAAGGTCCATGTGAGGTGTGAGGAAGTGCAGGCCAAGAACAGCGAAGTACGCAGGATATGTAAAAGGGGCTTTCAAGACGGGTGAAGAATGATAATAGTGCGGTTGAGAAATCATATTTTTGAAATTTGATTTTGGAAAACTAAATAATTAGGTACAAATATTTTATAATTATTATTATAGTCGAGATATTTTTTGATGCACCTAACCCTTAAGTACTCCTTTTTCGTTTTCATGTTTCGCAACAGCCTTATTCGATAGCTTGTAATGTACACAGCAGAGCTCATGTTCGATTAAACCAATATCTTAAAATCCAAAATATTGATTTCCATAAATTTTACTGTTCAAAATATGTTTTTTGTCAGTTTGTAGTTGTGTCCATACTTAGTTGGCGGGAGCAATAAATGATATTCAAGCTCGTTGAGACACTATATGTGTGTAATACATAAATATATGTATATAATATTAAGCCATATTATTACTGTGAAATTTATTTACACTTCGTAAGACTGTAAAAAAAAGATATAGTAATATCGTTATCGTACATTTTTAACAAAAACAATTATAAACATAAATTATTATCGTTATAATACATATTTTGTATCCGCTGCATGGACTGTTCCGTTAAAACTACAGCTGGATATCACCACCGCCGCTCGCTGCTCCGTCGAAAATAATTTTTATGGTACACTTCTTTCCCTAATGGGAATTAAAACCCATAGCGGTTTTCGAATTTATTTATTTAGTTCTATTTATATACTGCGCTGTTGTACACATATGTGCTATATATTAAAACGTAATGCGGAATGTCCCAACAAGCTACCATTATACTGACACGCTGTCTATCTGCATACCCGTATCCATTGTTATTTTTCACCATTTCAAAAGTTATTATTATTTTTTTTTTCGTCTACCGTTTTATATCTCGCAAAAAAAACACATCACATTCTATACAAATAGTGAACGCTTAAAAAATATATGCATTTTTCTGAGGGGAAAAACAATCGTTGTTAGGACACACACACACACACGTACGCATAAATACTGTATAATATTTTAGAATAGTTAGTCGGTGGGAAAAAAAGAAACGTCCATGACTTTGAATACGATTCACGTATTATTTTCAAAAACAATATTATTGATGTCAAACTAGTGAGAGCATAGAAAAAATTTATCAAACGACCATCAGTCTATATTATACATTTCAATGTGTCTTCTTTTGATATCTGGTTTGTAGTCCGGAGCTCCAGGCTGCAGTTATGAAGTTAGCTGTAGTTTATGTATCTTTGATAATTATAAATTCAACTTAGATTATTTAGAAAAACACACGTGTTGTGAGCAACTTAGTGTCATTTGAGAGTTTCTATTTAAATGAAGCATTTACTGCACATTGAAACCATAACTGAATAGTAAAATTATGACTATGATTGTAATCAACCTACACCACGTTAACAATATAATATTATGTACACAAATATTTCAGTCAAAAAATAGGTATAATTATTAGTATTAATTAATTATTTTTCTTTTTTAATTTAAATTGTATCATTGTATAATAACTTAATTAACTTAATAACTTATTCATTATCTGATGAACAAATGCACTTACAGGGCGTAAGTTTTTTATTTGCTTTAATACCTATAAAAAGTTTAAGCTAAAACCCAAGAAAAAATAATAAGCTATCAATTCGAAAATTTTAAGATTTATGTTTATAGTCTGTTTGCAGATATTTGCTACTTATATTTAACTTACGATGCTCAAAGTATGGGAGTTTTTTGTTTTAACTTATTTATTTTGTTTTCGATTTAACTGTAGAAAAAGTAAAATCTACTGCAGTGATCTTGTACCGGGCTTTTAAAAGTACGTCCGTTGAAACAATAAAGCTCTGCCAGTAAGTTAATTCAAATTTTAATTTAAAACCATACATAGTATAAACATTTAGTTTAAAGACTTTAAACTTATCGAATCAATATTTTTTTTTAACCAATTTCTTAATATGAGTTAAGGTATTAATATATTTGAGAAGTAAAATATCTGAAACATAAAATATTATGTTTAAAACCGCAACTAATTGAATACCTAATAATATGGTATGCTCAGTTATACCTATATCGTATTTTAATTATTTATAACTTTTTGCGTAATTGAATATTCTGCATTAAATAATTAAATCACCATAATTATATGCTAAAAGTTATTTCAATGGTGATTTAAAAACGGAGAAAAAGTCAGAATGATTCCAACGAATTGTACGGTATTCGAACATCGCTATGTGCAATATACTATATATTACTGTTAACAATACATTCAATACGATAATATCAACACGTTAATGATTTCTGTTCAGTGAAATGGCAAAAGTATTTACTTCAAACATACCTATACATATTGATGCACAGCGTCGAATAAAAAATTGTAGTCTGTTTCGGTGTGTACATATACTAATGTAATATGATATAGGTACCTAAATTATATATTATATGTCTTTTTTTTTCGACTTGTAAACATCGCTATGCACCGTCGTGCGATGACCAATTAAATTATATAAACACATTTGCCCGAATTACGCCCGTTTTATAATTATTTATTCATCGGGGTTGAATTAATTTAATTCGAACCGTTCCGTTTGATTTTATTATATTTACGTTCGGATCGATTTTCGTTCTATTCGGAATGTCCATGAACATTGTTTCTATTCCATAAAACCCATCCCCATTTCGAACGACGCATTCAATTATCACCCAAAGAGAGACAGTTTCTGTTAAGCTTCAAGAAGATTCTTATTCTCCGGGCACCGTCATCCTCTTAGCTTTAGACGCGAATAAACTAACGTGGTAGCCATTTTATGACCCGAGGCTTCGAACGGCATTTCGTACGGGTGCGAGCAATTTGCTACACAATCCAAAAGTGCTTTTGTTGTATATCATCGTAATGGTTGATAACCACTCTGGGAAAAAATCGTATTAGGTTATTCACCGTTTGAAACACTGGAGACGTTTCACGTCGCCATAACTGTTATACATTTAAAACAAAACTACATAATATTCAGTTCGGAAAAAGAGCTCATACACTTATCGTCCGACGCAACAATTCCCCCGTGATTATTATCCAATCCCCTCTCAACGATATTACTATTGTTTCAGTGACGGTAAAACGAGAGGTGATGAGAGCGATAGATCCCCCACCCCATGACCTATTTTTCGATGCTTAAGATCACTGATAACTATAAATTATATTTTGAATAATCAAATATTGCAAAGTCTGCTTATCCCCCACCCTTGATAAAATCATTCGACCACCACTGCATTCTTTCAACTTAACCTACACAGGACAACGACCGGCAGTATATGATATTAGTATAAATGCATAGGGTTTATATTTTTGTTGGAAGTGAAATTTTAAAGGAAAACTTATTTTTACTTAACCATTTCTATTTAACGTATTAATTTATTTATATACCCATATAGGCAGGTACTTAACAAAATTTCATTGTATAATATGTAATACCGTACAAAACATTTTTTTCCTCATAAAATAATTTATGATAAATACACGATTTTGTATAATATCCAAATTTATAACCAGTTAATAACACAATAGCTATATAATAGACGAAAAAATAATTAATAATTTAATCCTTCCATACGTGGATAATATTATAATAATATATTATTATTCAAAATGTAATTAATTATTTCTTAAATACATTTTAATTTTCAAGGAAATATTTTCCATTATTGTGAACGCGGTACAATTAATAATTATTTCTCACAAAGTCATATAATATAACTTAAAAAATAGTAATCCGTGGACGGAGCACTAAATATTATCAAAATGTAAAATAAACATTTTTTTGCACAGAAATGATCGTGTGTAAAAAAATAACGTTTATATACGATTCGTTTAGCACCAAAGTAATGGAAGTATTCAAAATGAAATACAATTTTATCAAAATGTTAATATTTCAAAGCAATATTATAATAAATTCAACTCCTTCATGGCGAGTGTTTATTCGTCTCATTCACTAGTCATCCTTAAAATCTACTTTCCTTAATATAATAATATGATAATGTAATACATTTGACGGCTCATATCATTTTCATAAAAACTTAATTTTTACCTAATATATTATTCACAGTATTTATAAACTATAATCATCTTACCAGACTATTATTACTATTCAACGCACTTATTGATGTCTTTTACAATTACAGGAGGCCAGTTCTACTTTAACTTGCCGACCAGGCGATGAGCCAGGTGTGTTGGACTTGACCCTTCGGACAAGTAGACCAGATGGAATGCGTGTGGCCCACCTGTTGACCGGCACACTGTCCGGTGTCGCAACCAGGTTCTACGGGTCACGACCAGATATCCGACTTGGCACACATCCAAGTGACCCGTCATTGTATAGGTAAGTCGCATTGTCCTACTAAACAAAAGTTCATGAAGCAAGTTTACGATATTTGACCGATAACACTAAACCCGTCATATGGATTATGTTAGAATACATTAAATAGCTTATCAATTATTAATTTAAACATAATAATGTATCACTGGGTACCTATCTATATATAGATGGTGAATATAAATACGTTTCAAGTGTTATATCATAGTTTTAAATAATATTTTAATTTAGGATATGAATAATTCGTAATTTATAAAAATATTTTATCATAAAAGGCATGTTCATTTTTCTTTGTCTGAATATAAAAATCTTTGACTTTAGAATTATGTATAATTAATATATATCATAATAATAGCTTTTTATAGTGTTTAGAACTGGGATTTGTATTCGGAATAAAAGTATATTTATGATATTTTTTTGTTTATCATGACAAAAATGCTAAAAAATATAAGCTAAATTATGCTCAGAAATATAATATCATATTTACCTTCATGTTTTCAAAAACTTTAATAAAGTATTATTACCTAGGTACTAAAATGTGTGAATAAAATTATGAAACGCTTGCTTAATTAATAATATATACAATTAACTGTCGTAAATTAATTATTTTTTCCAACAAGTGCAACCCATTTTTATTTAACGTAATTTTAAAGGTTTTATTCTTTTTTTCATATTTCTGTATGATACTATATTGTATTACACATTTTTGCATTCATCAGCGTGTACATCAAAATGTTGTTTCAAACGTTTACACTAAAAATAAAAATAAAACCATTAAAAAAAATCCCAAGATGATAAAATATGATATAATAATAATATATTATATCAGATGTTTTTGAAACGAGTATTTGTTATTCCATATAATAATTACTAAACCATAATTAAATACAAATTAATAATTATGCATCAGGATTGGGGTAACAATAATCCATTATTATTTCCATTTAACTTTGTACATGAAATTACGATAGTTTTTTTTTGTACTCGCAAATGGCCATCCCCGAGGGTTGGTCCACTTTGCCATAAATTACCAACACAAAATGCAAACCAGTACTAGGTACATTATAATTATTTTTTTTTTTTTTTTTTTTGTCGAAAATTGAAATCGGAGATATGGAATTTCGATAAATACAAAAACCAATAAGAGAATTTATCGAATTTTACTGCGAAACCACGTTTACAAACAAACAATAGGGTTAGCGTTGAAAAAAAAGAGAATACAATATTATTATTATGTATGTGACACACATTTTCAAATTACTGTGCACCAAACTTTTGAAGTATTTACCATGTTTTATTCATGTTCGACTCTACGGGATGAATTTCAGTAAGACTTAGATTATTGATTATATACAGTTGTATATATAGTATATTATTATATTATTATATAGGTGCCTTTATCAGCACACCTGACACTATTTGAATATTGTAACGAAAGCGTCGGTATTGACTGAACACAGTTGGACGAAATTATCTAAAATTGTTTAATATTACACTATTATATTCGTAGGATCACTATGCATAGAGTCACCTTTTGTCTGAGTTGTTAATTTGATTTCATGACGCTTTCATCGAAAATAACTGAAATCCGAGACATCGGTTGTCGACTAGTTGCTATAATAGTTAATTGATATTTTGAATTAAAACTGTGTACCCATTATGATCTATTGAAACCCGATGGTTTATTTATTTTTTAATATAATATAATATACGCATGGAATAATTGAAATAGGCTTCTCTTTTTTTTATATATATTATTAATACTCTTTTGTAAGTGCATGAATATTAAACAGTGAAACAATAATTATTTAAATCAACAAAATGTATTTGACCGAAACAGCTTAACGTAAATACCTACGATCTTAGATGGTTACCAGTTGGTCGGTTAATACTTAATTGTTGTAATAAACGCCAAGACTCTATTACAAACCATATTAGTTTTACTCATAACTATTATTGGTTTTTATTATGATTAAAAATTACAATACATATTTTTATCTGCGTCGATTAATATTATTTATTCGATGCACCTATATACTTGGATAATAAATAATATGTTAAATAGTAATTTTTTCTCTAGATTTGGCAAAAAAAAAAATAATAAATACGTTTTGAAAATATAATAATATTATCGTTGACAATATAAATGTATGCCGATATTATTTTGAGTAAAAATTATTTCAACTGTCGTAGGACATAGTCGGACCTTTTTTATCTCAAAATACCAACAATTTTGTGTTGGGAAAGCATGTTTTTATATATATAATAATATATATACACACATAGCCTATACAAACCTCGTAAATCATTTTAAATATGTAATTCCTAGAATATTCATATATTTTCAACACGTGATGATGATAAGAAAATGAATAACGAGACAACATTTAGAATAATAATGGTGACTTTATAGTAATAGTGGAATAAATTATGTGATACACACGTAACATAATATATCCTATATTATATTGTTATATTAAAACATTATTTTCAGTTCCATGTTTTAGACAGAGCTATATAATATCTTTCATAGATTTCCCCAAATATTCTATTACCTATAAATAAGTATAATAATTGCAATAAAATGCGAGGGCTCGGATAAAAAGAAGCAAGTGTTTCTGAATTCTCGAGGATTAAAATAAAAAATAATAAAACATGTAATTTGAAATAACCGGCAATAATTACCTATGCGTAATTTATCGACTCAGCTCAAACTAATTCACTACTCTTCCATTAAATGAACTTAAGCATTATTTAATTCGAAACATAATGCAATATGATTAAAGTTATTTGTGTAGTGATTTAATTATTCAGTTAAGCGGTAGTGAATGTATGGTGAATGGTGATATGATAATATTTTCAATGCGATCATAGACATCGACTCTGACTTATTATCTCCAACCACCGAATGCAAATTTAAATAAAAATTACATAATAATAATATAAACCAAGCGAAAATCCATAAATTAATCAAAATGATAATCAAACAACTTTTTATTTTCATAATATCAAAAGTAACGTTATTCGGTATCACACAGACTACGAACATGATATTATATAAATTACTCATCATGTTCATATATCAGTACCTATATTATATTACAATAATTTGAATACTGATTCCCCCCGGTTCGTATAAATTTGATATGAAATCGAGTTCCACAATAATATCAAACGACAACGTATATAAATTGTTTACAATATTATATTATAAAAATATGCTCGTCAACACACGAAGCGTGTGGGTTTGTGATTATTATTTATTTTATTTTTCGGTTGAATACCGTAACGAAAGAGATAAATAAGAACGGATTTTCCCAAGAATTTTCCGAAGCCACAACCTAGGTTGGTATAATCCGATAAAAAAAAAAAAAACTGCGAATGAAGTTTGGAAATACATTTATATATGGGAGCACGTCCAAAAGTTTCGGCGGGGGCCACAATAAACTTCACGGGGTTCATTATTCTACAGGCCCATTAGACGGCCCCTCCCGCTAACGTGTCGGTATTATAAATGCATTTTCAGATTCATCAACGTCACAAAAACAGCGGACTTACCGAAACCTCCCGTTTTTCCCGATTTCGGCCCACCAACCTACCCCCAAAAAAACTAGGTCGTCGTCATAAATTGTTAAACGTTTACGAACGTCATTGGTCCACTGGTCAGCAGATAATATTTTACGATCGTTTCATGCATAATAATGTTATAATAATAATCCGAGATGGACAAAATTTTTTTTTTGCTCGCGACGTGCTCAAGATAAAGACGATTATTATGAATAAAAAACTCATTGTGACGAAATCGTATTATTATCTTTAAAAAAAATATATATTCACAAACTTATTACTTTTTTTTCTATTATTTTAAATTACATATAATGCATATTATTGTTCCACGCTTTATCAAATATTGACGTTATCAAGTTTCCGATTCATTGTAATATCTGGAATACTGTCATTCTAGTACAATAGTTTATCAGTCCTGTAAAAAATACTTTTGAAAAAGTATTAAGATACTAATACTAGTATTCGAATAAAAAAGTATTAAAAACACTTTTAAAATACTATTATAAAAATGTATTTTACGAATACTCACAGAGTACTTGAAGACAAATACAAGTTTTTTTTTTTAATTTTATGCTATATAATATAATATATATGTATATTCTACACCAGTACAGGTACCTATTATGTTACTACTTTCCATAGATTTTAACAATTACTTTAACATGTCTGGCTATTTAGAGATAAATTCATGTTCACATATTTCATTCTGCATTCAAATATATTTCAACTAATATTGATTACATTTTAATGAAAAAAAAAAAATAAAAAGTGGTATTAACTTACTGTTAATATGGAACAATTTTAAAATTATTAGATTTTCAGTTTTCTTAAAAAATTCCAATATAGAAACTATATAAAATTGAATATGGTATTTAGTGTGGTAACAATGTTATTACCTACTTTTACTACACAAAAACATAATATTAGTTTTCAACGAAAACAATATTATTTTTATTGATGTCAATTTTTTTTGAAAAATAATAAATTAAAATTAATATAACGTACTTTATGGTATTTTAATACAAGTATTTAAATTTTGGTAAAAATGCAATTAAAAAAAAAAGACAAGCTTAAATACCTGTATTCGAATACTTTACATGACCGTATATTATTATATTAAATAGAAGTCACGAATAAATTGTTTTTTCTTTTATTATTTTAATAATAATACGAACTTTACAGTTTGTGAATACTTCAGTTAAATCAACTTTTACTCAAAATAAATAAATAATAGAAAATATTATAAAATAGTATATACTATATCGTGTCTATCTGTGTTCTTATAATCATTTTTGTATTGTAATAACTTCCTAACCAAGCATCCAAATTGACTGATTTTGATGTTATTATGGTGTAACAAAATATATTCTACAGTGATGTGATATACCATGGGTCTAAGAAGCGAATAGGGGATTAAAACATTCAACTCCATTTCAAAA